GACGGAACCTGGTCACAGTTCATGACACATATCAAGAGCTTGCCTTTTGCCTGAATCCTTGCTCTTATTTAATATGTATTTATTTTTCCCCCTTTCCTGCTCTTACTGCCGTCCTGGTCTTCTCAATGCCTATACTCTGACGGTTGAGACTTTTTTCTTATGTTAAAGGTCCGGAATGTTGGTGTTATGACCATACTGATCAACACAGATTGGTTTGAGGTTTTTTTTATTTTATCATTTATTTATTTATTTTTATTTGTCCTGTCTCTTTTTTTGTATTTGTCTATATTTGCTTTCTTCCTTTGGTGCTCTGTCTGTCAGTGTGATACGTGAGTGTTTTTGTGGATACGTTTGTGGGGATGCCACCTGGTGGGGGGTGGGGGGCGGGGGCACAACTTTTGTAAGAAATGCCTAACTAATGATGTCATTGTTTTCAAGATGGAAAAATGATAAATAAAGTTGTATAAAATCTGATGAAATTCAAAGTTTCCACATGAGAGGAGGGAGATTGTCAGACTCCCTGCATCAAGGTTTGAGCAGCGAGACAGTGAAGCCAGACACGGGAAGATCATCACATTATCATTGTTCTCCTTACCATCCTCTGGATTTCATTACCCATCATGACTGAGTCCCGTGTTGCCAAGGCCAAAACCTCCTGTAGACCAAACACCCTCAGCAGGAGCAAGTTCAAGCTCACAGCTAACGCAACAATACTAATGAAGATCAGCTGAGAATGGAGCAGGACAGAAAGTCATGTTGTCTTGGTAAAGAATGAGGACTCAGTCTGATCAACAGATTTATTCAAAACTCATTGTGCAGCTTAGAGAAGTCAAAACTAAAAAAGCCGTTGGTGGGTGAAACACACACACACACACACACACACACACACACACACACACACACACACACACGCTCACAATCTGTATTTGATTTTATCGGGTGTGTCAGGAACTGTGCTGATTATTAGAAATGTGTCTACTGTTCCTAAACTGGACAGCTGGCCAACATCAAGAGAGGGGCAGGAAAAGAAAAAGAATGTCAGACGGCCTCCAAATGAAACAAATCTCACTGAGAGAGCCACTGAAGCAAAGACGAAGCTCAGGAACATATATGCTGAAGTGTGATCCCTGAACGGTGACACTGTGTAATGTGATTTATTTGCCTAATCGTCAACATTCTTTGTGTTTCCAAAGCATGTGTTTTTGACTGTCCTCTGGTAAATCTATAGGTCATCTGCATAAGCAGCTTATTACAGCCCTTAATTAAGTTTGTGGCAGCTGTTCATTTCACATGTTAAACCCATGATGTTCCAATTTAAGACTTTAACCCGTAATTGTAACCATGACGACGAAGGTCTTTTCCCAAACTGTGACTGTTCCACAAACTTATGCAGTTTTTAGCGAGGGTCTGATACAATCTTATGGGTTGTACAAAAAAATTCAGATAGTAAAATATAATAATACAATGTTCAATTTTGTATGGAAATGAAAATTAAACACTAACACAACAAACATCTAATGCTGTTGAAATGTTAAAGGATTTGTTGAATGTTTGTACTGAATTGATTGTTTCTGATGTATAAAGGAAGATGTCGCTGCCACACCCGAGCTAAGGTATTTTAAAACACTCCGGCTCAGAGGAGGTGTTGTGTATTTCAAACAGTCACAGGTGGTTTCACACTTGACCATTGACCTCACAAGTTTCCAAACCTGCAGAACACCTGACCTGTCCTTTTTTTTTTTTTTTTCAGCCAGGCGGGTGGCGTGTGTCGACTGTCGACAGAGTCATCCGTGCGCCGCTGCCGCACACCTGACGGCAAGATATGCAGTGGGAGGGGAAGGTGTGACTGCGGAGTCTGCATCTGCCTGGCCACCGAACCAGGGAAGTTCTACGGGCCCCGCTGCGAGTGCCACGACTGGGTCTGTGCTGCACATAATGGGAAAACCTGCAATGGTGTGTATTGACAGATAACATAATTCAGTAGTTTGGTGCTATAGCAAGGACCCAAGGAAGTTTTCATGTCCATGTTCTTTTATTGGAATCTTGTCCAGTGCAAGTTTAATTTTCAAAGTGTGACTCTGGAGTACAGGCACGCAGCTCCACATATTTTAAACTACTTGGATGTGGTTGTTGGTGATGGGTCAGTAAGTGATGCAGCAGATCTCTCCACTGTTGCGTTACATCAGTGAATCTTGGCAAATGGACTCTACAGCTGATGTTTCCGCCACGTGCTGTAAGAATGGAAAGCTAAAGGATGTCATCCAAAAACCTACTGAATATATCAATGCTGTTTTCAATATAATTTCAAACACAGAGATTCATAGTTCACAGACGTTTAGAGGATTTACAATATTTTGGATTGATGTCTGGGGTGCAGCTCTGTGTCTTTGAGATAACCCCCATCATCACCCTGGCAGTACTTCAAACATTGTAAAAGACAGCTGGTTGATTCACATGTGTTACAGAGGCATCTGCTCATGCTGTGAGATACACCTTTGAACTCCTGGTCCATTACCAGACATTTTACACGTTCTCAGAGAGAATCCTCGTGAGTGCATGGACGCTCATCAGCACGTTTCCTTGTGAGGTCTCTGGAGGTCTCTGCTTTCCACATGCATTTTCCAAAAACACAGAATCGACAGAAACATGTTAAGGATATTTCTTAGAGAGACTAAGAAACTTTTGGTTGGTGAATTGTTATATTAAATTTTACAAAGCTTTTTAAGGAGGCTGGCCATAAAACACAGTGTCAAGCAAGGGTTAAAGTGAAACTAAAAAGAATACCGACTAAATATTAATTTATGGATCTTGATATGTAGTGTGTGAAATATGGTGCAGCTTGATTGAATTTAAGGGGAATATTGGGCCTTGGCAGAAATATGCATTCTTCTCAGTGCCAGTTTTGCTCAGCTATAAATGTCATTTTTGGACTTTTGCATGCATGCATTGCATTAGAAGACAAACCTTTAGAAGCTGTGAGAGAGGTTGATCCCTGTGTGTTGATGTAAGGAAAGAAAACCCTCACCTCAGTGTCCTCTGTAGTCACTGGACTCTGGAGTGTCAGGGTTTGATAGAGTTATATATGTGCATCCAGAACAGGTCTAATGGAGATGTGTGTGCATGTGTGTGCGTGTGTGTGTGTGTGTGTGTGTGTGGTGTGCACATGGAGGGGAAAGTGATTTATTTGGGCAGACAAGTTGGCTGCTGTGAGGAGCTCATTATGGTTCAGCAGTCTGGAGTGAGAAGGCCCTGCCTCAGCCTGATAATGGGGTTTCACTCACTGGTACGCCTGCAAATGGAACCGAGACGCACCAGCAGAGGAATGGGTTTTCACACCCAGACACACACTCTCCACACACACACACACACACACACACACACACACACACTAATACACTAACAAGTGGAATCAGGCTCATTCTCCCAGTGTAACATTCAAAGATGCACGACCAGCCACATACCCACAGTCGTATTCCCATGTGAATATAGGGTCCAACAATTATACCCAAAGCACCCCCCTCCCCACTTTCATTGCTCAATGGCTCATACAGCATGCACAGTCTACTGTCTGAGATCTGCAGCCAATTCCTCTCCCTGCGGCTCCCTTATCTCTGCCTCTCACAACTACCCACTGATAAGATCCAGTAGATTGTTTTTCTCCTTTACTGATAAACTGTGTGTTTTAGCTTCCCTGGCACTGAGCTGTTCTTTTACCTCGGGTGGCATTCTTCGGATTTCAGATCATCTAAGTCCGAGCAACAAGTCAATCTGGACAAAGGAAATAGTGATGATGCAATATAATAATACAGATAAGGTGACTTTATTTAAAAATAAATAAATAATAGGATTACAAATTGTTGAAAGCCTATGTAAAATAGGTCTGAGCTCTGTTTATTAACATTATCAATTGATTTTATTTTATCTTAGGGAATAGCACCGAGACCACAGAGCTTCCTATGGGGATATTGCTTGGTCTATACTTTTGTTACATGGTTTTCTTAAGGATGCAATCAATAGACCTGCAAGTCAGCTGAACTAGATGCTCTCTACATGCATCTGTATACAGATAAATATAGGCCTGGAGTGCTCTTGCAGAATCCATGCTGAGTTAGAGACATTATAGAAGCATGGGGGAGTAGTTCCTGTATAAAAATGTCCCTGTTCTCTCCAGGGACAATTAGAGGAAGAAGAATAGGTCTTTATGGTATTTTATCCCAAACAAAAGACCATAATATGCTCTTTTTATGTGCAGCATTATTTTTCCAAGACTAGTAGTTAGGAATACTCTTTTTGTTCTAATCCAGTACATATTAAGAGTCAGTGCCACTTTATTCAAACCATATTCAGGAAGCTTTATTCTTTCAATGTCCAGGAAGTGACAGCTTATTATTTTGATATTTCTTACCATGTGTGTTGTTTTTTTCCCTGCCTTTGTCCTCATTCCAGCCCGCGCTTGTTTCACCTGTGTCTGATTACCCCAGCCTCCCTTGGGTATTTCGTCTCTGCTCACCCGTCTTCTTCGTCAGTTCGTCTGCTCTGTTCATCTCCTCCGTTTAACCTTGTCCTTTTTGTCCCAACTCCCTGGCGATTCATTGTGTCTTCAACTTAGTTCGTTGTTCATTTGAGGATTTGGACTTTGTGTTTTCCTGTGTGCCTACAAGAGACTCAGTAAGCACGTCGTTTCACATTAATCACTCTTCGTTGCACCATCTAGTCGTTGTCTTGTCTGCATTTTGGATTTTAAAAATTTAACCTTCACAAGAAGTAGATTTTAAACCTCTCCCATCATGTCATGTAACTATTGTGTGCATGATGGGATGACAGCAAAGTGATGCTTTGAATCTACCAGGTAGCAGGGTGGCAAAAACTGTTCTGGAATACCAGGTTTATTTCTTTTATGACGGCCTGTACAATTGTTTACGATCAATACCAGGACATGTTCTATCGTAAGACAGAACTTACCATCCAATCCATGATAATTCATGTAAGTTATAGTGGATTGCATCTGGGAAGGAAGTTGGGTTTACATTGCCAAAAATGTGTTTGTGTGTAAGCAGAATTACCCAAAAACTAAAGAACTTTTTCCATGAAGCTTTGTGAAGACTTTGGACCATAACCCAAGAAAGAACCCATTCTACTTTAAAGCGGACCCATAATTTATTGATTCATTTTTCTTTCTTAAACAAATGTAGAGATTGGGTGTATAGGTGTCAATACTACATTGGTTTTGTTTATAGTATTACTACAGTGTGCAAATATTTGTATCATTAGAAAGATCTAGAACAAAGATAGACCATCCGAACTATGCATACTGTTAGAACGTTTCTCTTTGGAGGTCTAAAGTGAATTTAACTGTCTTAGCTTTGTAGCCTTTTTGAGACCCAGCAGAAACCCTGTGCTTGTATTAATGCTGATTCTGCAGGCTGCACATAAAGCACCGCTGCTGTCACTCACATGTTTTCCCTCCTCCGGCACATCCCACACTCTAGCAGGGCGATGGGATGATGGACTGGTCTAACATCTGCTCACCAACTGTGCAAAACCTCCCAGTCATTTCAGACTTCTCTCTGTTTCTGACTGTTCTGTTCTGTTTCCTCTGTCCCAGTTTGAAAATAAACTAGAAAACAAGATATTTGATAGTTTAAAGTTTTATATCTAACCTTGTTTTCCATTGTTTTGGAGTTTATTTTGTTGTTTTCATGTCATTTCTGTAACGACTCCCCTGCTGTCATAGACGGTAAACATGACAATCTTTCCACTCTCGTTTTCACAGCCTTCCCTCCCTTCTTGCCTCACTGAATGAGCCACGTGAGCCGCCTCTCCCCTCACTTGTGCCTGAACTGTCTCTCTCACTCTCTGTGTCTGTCTGTGCAGAACCGAACAAAGTGTTTTCGTCTGGTGTGTGTTCAGACGGGCTGTGCTCCTCTGTGATTTACTGTATGGTCTTTTTCCATTGTCAGGAAACACAGAGGGTGGCCCAGACTGCAGCAGGCTCGCATTGTCTCAGTGTAAAAATACCCAAACACTATATAATCAACTTATTTGTAATTACTGTTACAATATCAAGTAGCATCAGAGCATTATATTAAGGCTGAACAACTTAGTGAGTGATCGTCTTTGTTTGGAACAAAACGATTTGACATTATCTGGATTTATCTTTATCCTCTTGATACAGCAACATTTATTCTGCAGGACACAAAGTATTTGATCAAACTCAGGTCAGTGCCTCCCTCTGCGTCTTTGGTAACAGCTGCCGTCCCCCCAGACGCTGATGTGGCTTGGAGCAGCGAGCAGAGTAAATCTGCGATCCAGAACAATCTGTAACTTTTTATGATTCTTTATAATTCTGATTATGACTCTGGCATATGTGTTTCCTTCTCACCCCATCTCAAAGGAGCAGTTTAAATAGGGCCGTGCAAGCCTGAGAGTGAAAGCACACACACACACACCCAGCAAAGCTCTCAGGCTATGGGTTTTTCAGAGCCTCTGTTCTTTCCCTGGCTCAGGCCGCGAGCCGCTGTGCCCCCCGTGCCAGAGCCAGAAAAGATCCCACCCAGGGGGGTTTTATGTCAGCAGCACATCAGAAGCCAGCTTGGCCGATGCTGTTCCAGATCAAACTCCTCCAGATACACTTTCTGTTCAGCATAACACAAGCCTGTGATGTCGCATCCAACACAGACACATTAAAGCCAGATGATATAAACAAGTAAACTAATCATGGGAAAACAAGTCACTAATGGCAATCTGTCCAAAGTGACTAAAAGGTTCAATGCATAATTTGTTGATTTGCAAAAGAGACAGAGAGCAAAAACAGAAAATAAGGACTCAGAGTGGAATGCAGCCCTTGAGCCATTACAGCCCATTAAAGTGTTCATCTCTGTATGTAGTTTTTTTCTAGTACATATTTTGATGTGTGCTCACTTTGCTAGGCTGTGTGCCTGTGTGGTGAGTCACCTAATGGTTCCAGTGTGGGCTGCAAGGAGAAAAAAGACACTCAAGATTTTCCAAATAGGCTACACGGGCATTTTTGACAATTATTTTTTCATTACTAAATCAGTAACGATTTAGATTATGGCCCATAATGCATAGGAGAAATTATTGATAAATCACAGTGTAATTTCCTGTATGAATTGCGTAAAGAGAGCATATCAATACACATGATGATACAAAGGAATGATATCTGAATATAGGGACTGAGTCCTCATAAAGTCATAATGTTATGAATATTTTGTTCAATAAAAATATGTTTTTTTTAACTTTTCGTAATAGTAGATGATTTTTTCTCATTGAATAAACTTTATTCTTGTAATATTATGACTTTCTTCTCAATTATGACTTTTTCCTTAAAAATAATAAGACTGAACTCTTGTTATATTTCAACTTTATTCTCAAAATCTCAGATTTCTTTTTCTCTTCAATATGGCCCTAATACTCCCAGGAGCCAGAGTCTGCACAGTAGTGATCTACTAATACAGGTTCTAATAACTTTTTGGTTTGGTCCATGTGCCATTCACAAACATGGAGTATACTGCAGCCAGCCACCAGGGGAACACAACATTTCACACTTTACATCTTTGTTCCTTACATGTATGTATAAGAACATGCACTAGGTCTGAGTAGGTTTAAAATATTGTTTTTATGTTGCAACATTATGAAATTGCCGAAGTAGACAACCAAATGCCTATCGGGGGAACTGTAGAAACTAGAAGAGGATGAAAGCAGGAGTTCCTTGTCCTGTGGAAAACACACAGAATGAGTTATTACCAGAGACAGGTGTCTCCTAGATCTTTTCCACAGAACACAAGCTGACGTGCTGTCGTTTCACGGTCCACAACCCTCAGGGAAAGAAAATCAAGTAGGAATAATTACTCACCGAAATGAGTATCATGTTACAGAGAATATGATCCAAACAAAGTAAGTGGGGAAATGTCATTTGCAGTGGAAACATCATGTAGTAAATTAGCTTGGAAACAGTCTCAGGGAGTTTTTAGATCTGCAATTGAAAATGGAAGCTGCACTGAAATCTCAAAATAGCCCCGAGATTGACTTGAATGTAAGTGAGAGAAAATTACTTTTTGCATTTGCATTGAACTGGTATTTATTAAGAACTGCAGATTTTCTATAAACCATAAAAACCTATTTCCTTGCTTATCACTCTGTCAGTTTAATTCCTTGTAAATCAACAAGCACGATCAAGTTAAATTTAATCCACAATTAGCTCCCTGAATGAGTCACCGTCCTCTCTGTCAGCAGTAAATCATGGTAAACGCTGCATCACCTGTTATAACTGCAGACGACCCTGGTAAGGACGCATCCTCTGCCCCTGACCCCCACTGAACATATCCGTGCACCTGACTGGCCGGGGAGCAAGTGTCTGACACACACATGCACACGCTCAGACACACATGCACACATGCACACACACACACAACCCAAACCACAGAGAATTACTGCTCTGTAAATAACCAGCGCTGAGAGACAGCCACCTTCCCACACACATAAACTCTCACCCACCAGACAAAGAGAATTTAATATGTCCGAGTGTCTGTCAAGAGGAGATTAACGGGGGCAAGTGGGTGGCAGAGACTTTGTAATAGTCCACTGAATTTAGTTGCAGATACTTTTAATCTAATTCAGTGTTACAGCTTTTATGAGGTACATTATAAAGGTACTGCTTTAATCTTATAGACATGTCAACTTCATTAGCACGTGCAATGTCGAATAATAACCACACAGCAATGGAATGGTAACAAATATACCGTGGTTGGGTCAGTGGATCTTATGTTTTCACTCCTGTCTGTTTGTTTGTTTGCTGATAGAATTGTGCAAAAACTGTGGACAGATTTCCACAGAACTTGGTGGAAGTTATTGTTCAAGAAAATAGGCCTTTTTTTTCCCTTTCCTTTACTTTTAACCTTGTGTGTGAAGTTTGGTGCAGTTTGATTGAATTTGAGGGGACTGTTGGGACCTGGTGCAGGCACTCTACTGCACGCCAGCTTTTTTGAAATGTGGCAGTGATTCAAGAATCACTTATGACTGGAGAACAGCTTCATTTGGATGTGTTTCACTGTTTTTGGACTCTAACATGCAGTTTAACAGTCTCAGCACCCAGAGTACAACAACTTTAGATCAGCTAGAGCAAGGATTTAAAATGTAATTGCGTTACCTAGGAAGTGCAGTCTGCTCTAAGCTCTTCAGTTTTAACAGTTTCCACAGGAAAACAATTACATACAACACAATTAAACAACGATATGAAGCTTTTTAAAAATCTATTTATTTCCCTTTTTCTAGAATTGTATTGTGTTTGATGGTGCAGCTTTTCCTTGAAGAGCACCCTCCGTTGTCTTCTTTTGCTCGCAACTGTTCCAGAGTGTCCTCTGAGACGTATGGATAATGAGAAGAGACAGGGGACTGGCCTGTAGTTAATGACTGATGGATAGCCCTTGAAAAGGACACCGCATTTACATGACGAACGAGTCAGGAGAATGATTGAGTGTGACATACAAGGCCCCTTTCTGCTAAATGCAATAGGGGCCACATTTATAATAACTTTTCGACAGCCCTCATTTGCATCCCATGATTCCTCCTGTTTTTCATATTGCTCACTGTGGCCATCAGAACCATGAGAAATAGTGGCGGCAAACTGCCTGCGTAGGGAAACCACGACGAGGTGTCGCTCTCACCGGGTAATTGATGAGGATGCTCGTATATCATCCAAAAAGGTTTGTATTTCAAAATAACACTTCAGAAATATAGTGGAGACATGCCTGTGTGTTTGTTTAAGTGGAAACGCATCATAACTCACATCCATTAAAGAGTCACCTGGTATTATGATGGAACTGTTGCAATAATTAAGAGTCTAGGGGCAAATGAGTCCTACAACTCTAATTCTCATCCTCTCCTGGTAGTTCAATGTCATCGCAATCATTTAAGAAAACAATTAAATGCGTCCTTGGGCTCACAGAGCGATTTGGCGACTTGAAGTGGCAACGGGCAGACTCTTTCAGCACTGATAAACAGCATGTCGTGTTTCCCTTTAGACCGCGGCTACTGTGACTGTGGGATGTGTGAGTGTGATGACGACTGGTTCGGAGACGCCTGCCAGTTCCAGGAAGAGTGTAACCTCCCCAGCAAGAAGAGCAAAGAGCTCTGCAAGAACCCACAGGGGGTGGTCTGCTCCAACAGAGGTAGAACGCGACCACACACAACAAACACACAATATGCACACAACAGTTGAAAGAAGCATTTTAGTTTGCATTTGATGATGTTTTCCAACAATGCAGTTATTATAAGAGGCTCATAAATTCAAATGAACGGCTTTAAATGATGGTCTAAATGTGTTTTTGAGTTGTAATAAGCAAATAATGAAGGTTTGCTTTATGTTTATTGATGTTTTTTTTAAAGATAAAAATGTCTTAATAACCCACAAAAAAGAGTTTGACCCTTTAATATTGTTACCATGATATAAGACTTTATTTACTACATATACATTTCTTCGCTCCCTATCAATATGAATAACTTAGATTAATAAATTCATGCATGAATGATCACCACTGAAAAGATTGACAGTGGTGATAAATAATTAAATTTGGTCTTAAATCTCACAGGCTTGGGGATATTAGATGCACACAGCTTGTGTGTTTATCTCTGTGGACACATGATTAAGCTTTGGCACACTGAAGACTCACAGTGTGAGGTGATGTCTGAGGTTATTTTTCACACACTGACAGCCCCTCACCCACCTGGGCTTAACCCCACCGCTGGCCCGCGATGCCTCCAGCTAAATGAGGGATGAACGAGCGTTTGTGTGTCTGCGTGTGAGCCCGTGTGTATCTCTGAGAGCATGCACTGTGCAGTATGTGGCCTGTTTTGAGCGTGTAGAAAAGCAAATGTATTCACAGCGTGCAGTTGTCTACCCGTCTGTCCCTATAGTGCATCCTACTACACAAACATACCCTGCGCACAACAAACACACACACAAACACACCTTGCAGAACAGTGGTCTGACACCGGTCCAGATCACATGATGCACAGACGGTGCCTCCAGTGCACAGCTGCACAAACACACAAACCTAACCTTAAAGTTTAAAGCTGGCTTCCTCCGCAGGAACCTGTCACTGTGGAAGCTGCATGTGCAACGATGAGGAGAACAGGGGTCTGGTGAGCGGACGTTTCTGTGAGTGCGATGACAGCGAGTGTCTGGATGAGGACACCGGAGAGGTGTGTGGAGGTATGCCTCAGCTGTGTCGTACTCTCACTCTTCCCCCAGTACTTGTTGTGTTAGCGGCTGTCATAGCGATTGGATTAGTTCAGTGTTTGAATGACGACTTAGAGGAATGCTGCCACAATTTTGATCTGCTCTCCAAAGCTTATAGACTGTTGATGTAATGCAGTTAACCCTTCACTGAACAACAATTGTTCAATCAGACTCTGGCAACCACAGCTCGACACAGCAGGCCTGTCAGACTGTCAACGTGCTAAAGTGGCGTGTTTCAGATGATACAGTTTGGGGAAATGTCAGTGGCTGTCTAACTGTTGGTTGGATTTATTTTGGAAGGGAAACATATTGGTTAAAAGAGTCATAAAACCTTTAATTCTGAACCAATGACTTCCTCTGCAATTAAATATGACATGTCATCATCTGGTGATGATGTTAAATCTTTGCCTGAGAGCAGTTAACTTCCCCATCCATAATTTAATTTTAAAAACCTAATTGAGTTTTCTTATCAGACCTTTAGAGAAGACCAAGACAGAAATAAATAATTTACTCCTGCATAGATTGTTATTTGTAAAACATTCGGGGCAAAAAAAGAAATCACCCTCTGTACATTTGTCAACGTTTGTTGTATTTGAATAATCTTTTTTTAATCTAATGTTGATCCATACCACCAACAGAGGAACTGATCAATTGTTGCCTGTTCTGCTTCCAGGCCACGGCCAGTGTTACTGTGGAAACTGTTACTGCGCTGCTGGTTGGCATGGAGACAAATGTGAATTCCAGTGTGATATCAGCCCATGGGAAAGCAAACGGCGATGCACATCTCCAGATGGCAAAATCTGCAGCAACAGAGGTCTGTTTACCTGATTCAAACCAGTATACATGTGGCATTTTGAAATATGAAATTGGTTTGGATATGTTTAAGTGATTCCAGTAAATTTCAATGTTGAACTATTATTATATATTAATGAAACATAAAATAAAGTACACACAAAAAATAATATATCCCAAAAATATTCATATCAATGGAACTGTGTGGAAACAGGAAACAATCATTCATTATCCGTTATCTAGGATCAGCAAGGGCTGGAAAGACGCCATGTTGGAAGAAACACTTATAAAGAAGAAGAATACAATTGATATTCCATCGTTTATGATCTGTTGTAGTTTATCACATTACAGAAAACTTTTTAGTGAAAATGTTTGTAGTGTCTTTGTTTTACTTAAACGTGTATTTTTCAAGATCTTTTCTCTTGTCTTCAGGTGTTTATTTTTGGATACTAAAACTTAAATTTCTAGAAGCCACCATTGGTACAAATACACTTTCAGAGACACACTTAGAATAAGGTATTTGTTTGAAGATGTTAAATAACCTGCATAATGAGACAACCACAAAAGAGACTATTAATCAAAGGGCCGATCTGACATCAGAACAACTCTTTACTAATTTAGATGTCAGATTGAAAAGAGGAAGGATGTGTGGTTTCCTTCTGGGTGTCAAATATTATTTGAGATGTAGAGCCTGGTGATTGAAGTTGTTTAATAAGTTTGACAAGGGTGTGTGACAGCCACATGTTGGCGCGTCGCTTTGAAACTGAACATGAAAACGAGGATAAAGAGAAAAAAAAGGGTGATACAGAGGAAAAAGACGACAGAACAGGAGAGACTGTTAAAACAAAATCCTCAGGCCTATATGCAAATTCCACTGAAAGTCATCAGAGGTTGGTGGACAGGCAGTCGGGGAAATAGCTCCACTATAGCTCAAGTGATCCTGCGGGATTTCAGTAAAGCTCTCTAAAATTAATTACAGTGGACTGGCAGAGGGCCGGCTAAGTGGCGAGGCTAAATGGTGGGTTACGTGGACAGAGCTTCATCGCAGCGCTGCAGTTTATAGTTAAGTGCACAGCTGATGCAGCATGAACCACCATCGTCTGTGTTCATGGTGTAAAAGCCCATTGTGTTGCTCTTCAGCTTAGAAAAGGGCAGACACAGTGTTACCCTGAGAAAGGAACAAAGGCAAAATTAAAAAAGGAACATATATCAAAATACATATTGTTACTGGTTTTAGCAGAACATCCTTTTTTCTACTTCCCCTTGCTTGAGGGTTTTCTCGATCATAAGGATTACTTGTTATTACTCTAATTCCTTATTGATTCTTTTATAGATCCCTTTTGAAAAAGCACATTCAGGTTCCAGAGCATTAATTAAATTTCTCTACTTTCTGTGTTCAGCCAACTAAACAGTTTCATCAATAAGACCAAACACATACAACATAAACAGGATTTTAAAACATTGCAATTCTTAATATTTCTGGTTAAATCACTCGTTAAGGTCTGTCTACCATGATTTGAAATTGATGAAAACAGAAAATATGCACATTTGCTTGGGAAATATTTACATTTCCAACCTTCTACCTGAAATAATAATGTAAAATGTTATGTAATATTAATATGGCTCCAATGATAATGGCATTAATATTGTCTCTTGAGGAAACTGTTGAATGTAGTGCACCTGTGCTGTAAACTGCCGCATGTTAAAGGACATTGTCAGATCACAAGATCACAGATCTACATTATTATATTATACTATATCTTCCCCTTTGCTCCCAGTCAAGTAAAATGTGCATTTCATTTTAAATCATCCATTCAGATGCCAAACAATTCCCACAAGAAGCACAATTTGGTTCTGATTATAATGAAAAACAATTCCCAGTTCCCATCCCTGCGTTAAACGCTCTGAATGAATCCTCCTTTAAAGCACTGTGAAGATAATTCCCAGCGATTATAGGCAATGGATCAGGGAAGCTGATTTCACAATAGAGGGCTGATTTGATTTCATCACCACGTATAGATGTAGGGATGTGAAGTGTTTGCTATTAGACGCTAAAAATGTCGTCCCTTTCTCTCTCCTTTGCTCAAACGTAACCTTTATCTCCCGCTCGCTGTCTGAAATGAATGGGTGAGTGATTTGGCTGACAGCCCCCGATAGATAACTCTGTTTCATTCTGGCAAACTGTCAAGCCCCTCCGTCTGTTGGGTTCACCTAGCCTCTTCCATTCAGCTAATAATACACTAACTGGCATGCTGTCAAAATGATAACATCTGCTCGAGGCCAAATATGTGCATCTATTTATTCTTGATCACAACAATTCGACTCACAGATAATACAGTTGCATGATGCGCAGAGAGAAAAAACATTTCCCCCCTTTCAGGACTATGGTTAAAAATATGAACAGTAGCTATAGCACAGGTGCTGTAATCTGCTCTGAAGCTCAGCTGTGACGTTTGTGACAGAAATGAAAGTGCACGGCATCTAAAAATCCAGGGCTCCAGGGTTATGAGGTGGCGAGGGAGACCAAGCCCAGTGCCAGGGGCCAGACATGCGCCAGCCGCAGCCCCCAGACTTGCCAGCTGGCCTGGCCCCCCTGGGGTTCCCCGTGCTCTGTCTCTGCTGATAAGAGAAAATGGGATTTCCACTGACTAGAGCTCAGCTGATGTCCTGGCTGCAATGTTAAACAAATGAGAAAAAGAAAGACAGATACACAGATAGAGGGAGGAAAATATGAGACAGACGGGGAAAGTGTATTTATCCTGCTGGCTGCTGAGAAAAAGGAGAAAAATATATTGTCCCTTCTCGTCCTACGTCCATGAAAGATATCAGAGACAATGAACTGGACTTTGCCTTTCATCTGTGTGTTTGTTTTTCTCCCAATTAAAACCAAGTAGTGCTGCTACAGTGTAAAATTGTAAATTGTAAAACACAATGTAAATTCCCAATGTGTGTGTTTGTGTGGTTGTGTTAGGGACCTGTGTGTGTGGTGAGTGTACCTGTCATGACGTAGATCCCTCTGGTGACTGGGGAGATATTCATGGAGACACCTGCGAGTGCGACGAGAGGAACTGTCATGCAACCTACGACCGATACACGGATGACTTCTGCTCTGGTCAGTGTTCTGCTATTGGATTTAAAAATAAAGCCATGAAACCAAGTTCGACAGGAAATGCAATGATTTTCTTTCTTGTCATGAGTGAGATAAAAAGATCCACACATCTCATATCTATGAGTTAAATGAAAAGCTGGAGCCAAATGAGCTACAGGTAGAAAGGGATTGGATACAGGTTCTGTCCAAGGGGGGCAAAGTATGTCAGCAGGTATCAAAGTGATGTTGGATAGTATGAATATGCTGAATATACTCACAGAGCACTGCGTTAGAAACATCACATCAACACATCCAAAGTCCTGCCACTCTGCAGCCCGAGAGCATGCTCCTATCTGCATGAATGGGAACGGGAAATTAAAACTTCATGTATCACGCACTTTACAGTCTAAGACGTAACATCATCTTCTGCTGCTGTAGCTCATCAGCCTCAGGGCTCCTCATGTTGTGCATTCAGATATGCTTTCATGCTCACCAGTTGTATAGACGATTGCATTACACTGCTGCCACGTGATTGGCTGGTTGAAGAAGGAAGTGTGCAGGTGTTGCTAAGAAAAGGTTCTAGGTCAGTATTGTAACTCTGCCAAGGTAAGACATTGGTGCTCAAACCCAAAAAATGGCCAGTTGTCAATGCTATGTACACGTTTGAAACTAGTGCGCTCATCCTAGCTAGCTAGCTAGCTGTTCCTCCATCTGTTTCCAGTTGTTGTACCTATCTGGCTCCAGCTTCTCATTTAGCTTCTGTCTAGACGTGAGAGCAGAGCATTGATACTCTCATCCAGAAAGTGAACAAGCAAAACAAAATGTCAAACGATTTCTTTAAAAGAAGGCTGGGTAGTGCTTTACAATGTGCAAGTGTACAGTAAATTCATTTGCTTTCACCTAGCAAACAGTTTTTGGATGGGAGATGACCTTTTCACTGCTTCTCTAAAGAATTAATAAGCTAAATATGATGGATGCTTCCTCTGTGCACACATACATTAAACAGAGCATTTCTACCCCAGTGGATTTATCCTAGCATCCTTGCATATACACGGCCAAAAGATCTTTGGTGCAAACCCTCATGTGAATTGTTCATAGTTTGGGAGATGTAGAAACAGTTTGCACATGTTGATGGTTCTAAATCAAATTTTTCATGTTTCTCTATCAGTCTCTCTCTCTTTCTGCTGCTCTCTCTCTCTCTCTTTCTGTCCAATCGTGGTAAAATCGATGCTGGTAATCCAGCAGCTTAGAGAAGCTGGAGTCTGTTCAGCCAGGACACCCAATTCCCCTCATCCTCTCACTTGTGCCACATACCTGCCCTTTGTTCGTTTTCTACCTCCCTCCCTCGCTCCTCTTTCCCACTCCCTCCCTCTTTCACACCAGCTTTCATTTGCCCATTTTTCCACCTCATAACCTATATCACCACCCTGCCCTGGTGAGTCCTCTTCACTTTCCTCTTCTCAGTCTGTTTATTTGAACAGTTTTTTTTTTTCTTTGCAAAGCCACTGATTCGTTTCACCTCTTGTCCTCCACCTCCTCTCCTTGTGCTCGGCAGGTCACGGCCAGTGTAATTGCGGCAGGTGCGACTGCAAGGAGGGATGGGCGGGCAGGAAGTGCGAGCATCCGCTGTCTTGCTCCTTGTCTCTGGAGAGCAGTCTGAGGAAGTGTCGAGGAACGTCCAATTTGCCCTGCTTCGGACGAGGTACCTGGTCTTCCCACTTGATCCAGTTGCCATGGTTACTGCAGCAGACCTGTACTCTTGCTCTCACCTCTTGGTGCAAAATAGGCCATTTCCCGGCCACCTCTTAATCCATCTATTAGGACTCAAGGTTGCACAATGTTATCATATCTTTAACTAAGCCAAGAGGTGAACAGCAACCACTCGGTGCATTTGCGTCCTACTTATCATATGTATACATTAATGTTTGTGTGTGTTATTTGTGTTGTTCTGTCCAGGTTTTGTGTTCCATGATGTGTACTTTTGCTCACGTATACATACAGTACATGAGCATCTTTCTTTGTGTGTGAGATGAAGGAGGGACCGTTTGCTAAAAACAAAGAAAAGCTCTCTCAGTAGAACAAGCTCTGGGTCGATGTGTCTAGATTTATTACAGTGCGCTGAATGCTTCATTAGTGGCCCCTCTGAACAGGGGAAGCTTGTTTTCTTGAAGCCTCTGAATGTTCGGCTTAAAACTGATATACACTGAAACCTGTACTAATAAAACAAAGGTCCTGGTTGTCCCAGTCATGCACCGTTGAGCCTGTTGATTGATGACAGTAAAGTAAAGTAGGAGTACAGTGTCAGGTTTGAGTCTACAATGAGAGCTATGTTATATCTGCGTCCAGTGTGTGGAAGGTGGACCTTGGATATTGCTGTTAATGTTCAAAACATTTTTACATTGGAAAGTTGGTTTTAAATCTATTTCAATCGATACAATTTTATATTTATGACTAAATAAGCTCTCATGTTAAAGCAGTGGGCAAAGTTAAGTCGAAAGCAGCACAGAGAGAAAAACCCTTCATTTAAATAAGCAAAACTATTTAAATGTTAGCACAAATTAGCTGATCACAATGGCAGATGAATGTTGTAGCCAACTCCACCAATGAGTTTGGTTAAAGCTGTTTCATGGTGGAATGAGGCCAAAATATTTTTGCCCAGCTGATACATGTTGTTGTTTCAACTAAGAGCTTCCTTTCATACATTCATCTGTCCATTATCTGTACCGTTTATCCTTTTGAGGGTCGCGGGAAGGCTAGAGTCAATCCCAGCTAACATTAGACAAGAGGCGGGGTCCACCTTGAACAGGTCGCCAGCATATCACAGGACCAACATAGCAAACAACCGTAAGGGTCAATTTAGAATCTCCAATTAACCAAACCCCGATCTGCATGAGAGACTGTGGGAGGAAGCTGGAGCACCGAGAGAAAACCCACACAAACACAGGGAGAGCATTGAAACTCCACACAGTTTAAATCCCCCCGGAGAAGAAGTGTCACATGTAGCATCTGTTCCCAAAGACTTTGTTGATACAGATGTTCATGTGGATAGAATACCGAGGTCCAAAGCAGAGCCTTAGAAAAAACGTGAATGAAATACAAAGGGGCAGCGCTGGCAAGACTTACGAGTGACCTACATGAAAATCAGAAGTGATAAAAAGCCTGTCGTTGTTCAGTCGAATGTAGGAGGTATTCATGAACTTTCAGCAAAGCAATCATCTCTTGTGCAGCCCTCTTGAAGTGACTCTAGTCCCAAATTTATAGACGATAACAAAAAAACAACAAAAAAGCAAAACCAACAAGACAGAACAGCTTTTCCAGATTCAGTCCACATATTCAATCAGAGTCAACAATGCACAATGGTCATTTTTCCATTGTCCTCAAACTGGCTGACAACCTGCATTGTTCTAAAGCATGCATTGGGCATTTGTTAATAAATTACACCTTCTTGCAGTGCACACTTCGGAGTATTCCAATCTGTATTTTACACTGATGCAGCAGAGTTAATCAATCAGTAGCACAGACGAGCCATTGTTCAGTGTAGCCTACTTCCACCATTCATGTGTTCTTCTGTTGACATGCTTGTAGTTTTCTGGGGAATACCTGGCAGAGTTGGTTTTACTTCAGGGAGAGAGGACGATGAGAAGAACTGCAATAAAGTCTTAGGTATTCTGTGTAGGTGATTCAACTTATATTCTGAGGACACAACCTGCTTGGTTTCAGGGCTCCACACTTTTTATCAGGGGTTAATGTGAAGCATTGATTTCCTGTTTCATTTGACTGGAGGAAATCACTGGGGAGCCCACAACCTTTCAACCGCTGCTTTGTTCCAAACCAGAGGAGAGGATATGTGGACTGCAGCCTACTGTCCGCTGTTATATTGGCCATTAATATTCCTCACACCCGTTGCTGAGAAAGCCGCAGATTAGATTGGGCACCTGAAACCACACGAACAGAGCTCCTACCACGGACACAATTACATTAACAAGTCAACATCACCTCTGGCCAACGATGGAGGAATAGAAGAGCAGCCTCAGAATAGAACCAAATTGGCGTCCTTTGAATGCATCAACTATTCATTACATATTGTGGCTGTACCGCAACATACTTTGTTCTTTGCGGCCTCAATCCAATTCTGCATAAACAGGGCCGAGCAAGCACTGCAACACCCCCCCCCCCCATACACACATAATGAAACCGCAAAGATTAACTTGTGCTGAGAGAGTTAATGAGCTTTAATTCCTCCAGCAGTACCTTTAAATTATCTCCAATTGCTGCACCCAAATGAAACTTTAAATTACCCTGTGCAAAAGAACAATTAATGGTATTCATAAATTCTTCCTTTAAAAAAATTGGATTTGCATTTCCAGCCATGCCTGTCCACTCAAGCCCAGTTAAAGGTGTGCATGAGCACCACCTGACAAAATGTTTTTGTGAGCACATGTCTAAATCATTCAATTCTAACCTGCATTTCTAGTGTCAAATAGATATAAAACATTATTCCAGATAATCAGAATTTCTTCAGACCAACTATTTATGTCTAAATCCTGTTGAAGGCATTGTCTGCAGGTAGTAAATTCATTCTGTCAGCTCCACCTGCTTCCCCTCTATTATTAGACTTAAATATCTGTGTTGAAGTAGACAGAGGAGGGACACTGTCAAACAGTAATAAACAGGAAGGGACAGTCTTTGTGCAAATGGCAATTGTGCATTTGTGTTTTTACTTACTCAAATCACCTTTGTAGAGGATGCCAATTTGATTTTGTGCTAGATTTAGATCACAGAAGTCGGGAAAAGATATTTGAAGAGAGAAGGTCTGTTGCAGCCACAGTGAGGGGAGACAGGAAGCAGGGCGGAGGGTAAGAGAGAGAAAGCGAAGGAGACAGACGTAGAGAATCACTTAGGCATGGATGAATGCGGCTGGTGCAGATGGCAGCTTGAGCGGAAAAGCCTTGAAATTTGAAACAACAGCTTCAGAGCTTTTCTTCCTGAGGGGCGGAGGCAAGACGCTGGCGGATAGCACATTCTTTACAGTGTGGTATTTCCTCAAGGAAACACCTGCTTTCACCATCTTTCTGCTGATTCTCGAGATTCCTTTCCCTGCTCGCTGAAGAGCAGCCTGTGACACACATTAACTGTGTGATTGTTAGAATTTAAAAGCAAATACCTTCTGTATTTCCCAACCACGAAAGGAAAGACTGGGGATTTATTATTGTGCTACCAACTTATTACAATAAAATCTCAAAAGAACATCGCAAGCATGAAAGAACATGATACCTGAGACAGCAGAGACTCAGTGAAATGAGAGTAAGAAAGTTTCCAGCTTCAAAAATGTGGCAGATATTTGAGGAAAATGGTAAAAATGAGGCCACGGTATAATTTTGAAAGAGATTTTATCTTCCAGCAGTTTGGGTGGTAAAACTTGTTTTAAACTCGAGACACAGCTCAGAAGATGTTTTCATTTGTCTGGATTTATTACCTCCACCGTGGAGGAGGTTATGTTTTCATTACCTTTTGTTTCTTTGTTTTATTTTCAGCATGATTACTCAAAAACTACTTAAACCGAATTCCATTCCATTTTGTGGCGTGGTAGGCCATGAACAGATCTGGATAAACAAGAGTATTTTTGCCCCCGTCAAGAAGGTTATCTTTTCACACATCTTTTGGCTCGTTTGTTGATTAGTCCTCAGAATTACGCAAAAAGCCCTGAACTGATTTGCACCAAACTTGGTGGAGGGACAAGACTCAGATAAAGATTTAATGAATGGATTGAGAACTGAAATGTAAATTGCGTTGAGTGGTTGTTAAGACTAGAAAAAGCACCATGTAAACATTGTCAATTTCCATTTATACCCACAAGCTTGGTGCCAGGTGAAGGGGGCCTGTGTGTTAGTTTCACAGCTCTGTGGTGAGAGGAGAGTCACAGCTGTGGTTGTGTTTATGCACATCAAGTGAGGCACACATTTCGGTGATGATTCTGTCACGAAAATGGGCATGAATTTCCACTTTACTGAAAATGTGACAAATGTGACACATTCAAAACACTGTTTGAGTGCGTCTGTGAAATAAGTCACATTATTGGCTGGTTTATTGCTACTGCAGAATGTATGATGGCTCTTCCGTTTAAAAAATGTCTCTTCAGCTATGATCTGCAGTCTGCAATTTTAATCTGAAACTCTGTGGAACTAAATTTGATTCGAGTGGAAACTTGAATTCAAACCTAAGACATGACAACTGGCTGTAAAATATGAAGTACACAACCTCATGTACTTTTGAGCACAGACTCGCTGCTATTCTTCACAAACTAAATTTCAGTGCATTACAAAACAAAAAGCAGTAGAGGACGTTTTCTACGTGGATGCAGTCTGTGTCTCCTCCCAGCCCCTTCGCAAACTGACCCAACCACTTAAATAGTCATCTGTTTACTAATGTATTCCTTCAGCTCCAGCCCCATTTGAAATGATTACGATTGAACATCTGCTCACTAATATTAGTTTGATACGACCTTTCCAGTGTGTGTATGTTCAACTGTCAGTTTTATTCAAACTCTTCTCAGACCAGTGTCTTCAAATGTGACGTTGTGCATATTAAACAGGATGACAAATCATCAACAAGCACAACACACACACATATACACTGGGGTGGACCGTTTGACAACCACAGAGATAATCAATAAGGCACGGTGTTATGACATCATTGGTTGCCAGGGTAACTGCCTCCCCAGAGCAGAGGAGCAGGGGAGAGGTGGCTCTAACCCTCTCTCTCTCTCCGTCTGTGTGTGTGTGTGTGCGGTCATGAAAAGTGACAGTGATGTGACATGGACAACATATTATATGAGGCTGTCATTCAAGTGGCGGCCTCATAAAATCCTGTTCCTGTTTTATTTATTGAGCCTAATTCCGCTCAGTGAGTCATCAAAAGTTAAAAGCGTGCCGGCACAAACACATTCTGGATGTGTATTAGTTGTTATTTAGTGGCACTAACAACAAAATGCACCCTGCAGGGCAACAAACAGGGAAAACATTCGGAGTGGATAATGATTTTTGCAAAAGGGACTAGCCCGCTCAATAAAAAACAGGAGGAAAGAGAAGGACTGGCACTCACTTTGCTGTGTTTTAAACCATCTGTCTTCACTGAGCTGGGAGATTCCATTTATGCAATTATTTTTCATGGTGGCACGGTGGCAGCTCACCTGTTCTCAGTCCTCCAGGGCGTCTGCAGCAGGAGTGAATATATATATATAATATTTAAAAGATGTCTAACTGTGTGTGTCTTCTTTCATAAAACAAAGAGCAGACAAGACAAATGCACATTTCATGGTAATGCCTCATGTGTTATTCTCAAGCTCTTTTGGAGAAAGTAGACTTAACTGCGATGAATTATCACCTCCACCAAGAAGGACATGTTTTTACCCCTTTTGTTTGTTTGGTTGGTTTGTCAGCAGGATTACAAAAAAACCCCAGAACAGATTTTAATGAAACTTGGTGGAAGGATGGGACTTGGGCTAGAAAAAAAAAGTTTTGTGATGCCGCCGTGACCTTGACGTAATGCCTCTGACACAAACGCGTCAGTTAGAACATCAGTGTGAGAGCACTGATGAGCATTTCAGAAAACCTTTCTCCCTCTAACCCTTCAAATTTCTGAGTGCATCCTATACGCTACAACACCCATAATTAATATGACTCAGAGCTGCCTGGATAAATGATCAGGTATCCTGCACACCTCCAATCATAGTTCAGCAGAGATGATGTTAGTCTAATGAGTTTAACCGTTAGCCAGCATGCTCACTTAGTAAGTTTCCCTGTGGCCCACTTCACTGGCATCTCGCTGTTTGAAGAAGGGTAGGAATGTCTTGAAGTGTGTGTGCCTCTGTGTGTGTGTGTGTGTGTAGCCTATGTGATTTACATATACGATTTCACCATGTGTCTGGCAGGAATGTCGTCGGGCAGATTATGTTGTGTTCAAAATCACTTGTCGAACTCATCTGCTGCAGGCGTGCAAATCCCTCTCCAGTGTCAGATGCTCAGGATGACGTGAGACACTGAGAGAAACAGTTTTCCACTGGACAGCTTCTGAAACCACAGCTCTGTTATGAAACTCTGCTCCGAAGTGAGAAACTGCGTCTGTGTTTTGTAGGTCAGTGTCAGTGTGGACAGTGTACCTGTCATCCACCTGGGGACAGTCGTGTTCATGGCAAAAACTGTGAGTGTGACAACCGTCAGTGCGAGGACATCAGTGGAGAGGTCTGTGGAGGTAAGAGCATGCACACACACACACACACACACACACACACACACACACATTACACATTACACATTACACTGTTCTTAATGGACACAAACACTTGTTTGACCAGTGGGAACAGACAGTACTTGATTCACTGCAAACAAAAAAACATGCATCGGCCAATTTTGGACTATTGCATCCAAAAGATATAATTTTTCGGTCTAGTGAAGAAAACACGTCCAAACTACATATTGAAATGTTTATGTTTCCACGTAAGAGGCTGTTTTGTCTTTGCTCTTTTTCTCATTCACTGAGCTGTAAGTCTCCATCTCCTATATTTTAAAAGTTTGTTCATTTATAATTCATAGCCTGACTTATAGAATATTTTCTCCTAAAAACCTTAACAAAAGGTATTTTTTATGGCCATTAATAGTGTATTCTGATTTATGAGGTGATCAAACGAGTTACCCAGAATGACCCCCGTAAAATCCCCTGGCTCTAATATGGCAGCAAGATGAAAGAAGAATTTTTAACTTGACTATATTAAATATTTGGATGTCTTTTTTGAAAATCCATATGGAAGTTATTTGGCGTTTTTGAGGAACTGAGAGAAGTTAGGTAGAAAGAAAATGTTGTGGTGCGGGAGCTGTAAGAAACCCCCTGATCCAGGGTACAGTGAGAGCCCCTGGATGTTTGAGCCTCGCTGCAGTCAGAGGAGAGAAGTGATGAATGTACAGGCCCCTGGAAAGTATGGTCAACCATGAAGTGCTTCCACTTCAGGCCTTTCTGGTCACTTCCTCCGCTCTGAAGCTGAATTTTCATCATATTAGGAGCGAAAACTTCCCGTGTTTATGAATTGAGGAGTTTTCATGTCATCTGACTCTACAAACAGTTGGTCAGCTCGTCACACACTTTACTCCTGAACACAAATACCCAATCGTTTTATATGAGGCCATTTGACAACAGCAGAATAACAAAAGCAACATTAGCATTTATAATTCTTGACAGCAAACACTTTCCATTTCGTTCCCTATTTTAGTGCATTACCTACATGTACAACTATTAACTACATATTATGGATTTTGTTAAATATATATACATGGATTCGCTCAATAAGCAGGTGATGGTGAAATGTTTTACTTCTCTTTTCATTCCATTTTATTTGTTTGTTTTGTTTGGTGGAGGTACGCTTCAGACTCTTGTGTCGTGTACGTATAGATTAAAGAAGTTGCCATTTTCAATCAGTTATGTTTGGTTACTTAGTTTTAATTCCAAGTTCTGTAGTTTTACACTTTTCTTTCAGAACCTCCACATCAGTGAGAGGATGAGGAGCTGGATGAGCCCCTTGCAGGCATCCAAATGTTTGACCAATCATGAGAAAGTGGAGTTTTAAGGAGGCCTGAGTTAATATTTCAGTCAGGGACCCAACTGACTTCAAAACCCACAGTTTGAGATGAATAAGAACTTTTCTAAACTGTCAATCATGCAAAGCTACTCCAGAGGAGTGTAAAAATATAAAGCTGGAACCCAAATGGTAATTTGCTTGTGAGAGATGCTCTCTGCACACTGTACAGATGTTTGCTGGATCAAACACCTGGTTCACCACCACCTCCTCCTCCTCAGTCCATGTCTAAATGCTGCTCTGTGAATGGCAGGTGCAGACTAATTGAATGAGAGCCAGGTTGCCTTTCCTCCAAAGCAATTAACCGCTCTCCCAGGCCGGCTGATTGAGGCAGCCATGCACGGCTTGCCATAGCTGCCGCTCCACTCCATTTATAACCTCCCACCACAACCACCACACTCACACACGTCCACAAGCGACACATACAAAAGAAATCACACGGCACCACACAGGGAGGGAGGCTGACCAAGGGTTGGACACTATGTTAATGGGTAAAGGTATTATTAGCGTCAGATTAAATATACATAGATAGGTAACATCTATTTTTTACACCCAACTCTTTAAATATCTATCCTGAAATAAATAAGTGTAAAACTGCATCGATGATAATTACCTTCACTGAGAAGGTGATGTATGCATCAACGTTTTCAATACTTCATGGAAGGATGTGATATGGGTCAGGGAAGAACCTCCAGGATTTTCTTTTCTCACTTTCTTAAACATTGTGAGATTTTCAAAACTCATCAGGAAATAATTCAGGGATCTTTATGAAATGAAACCAAATAGGTTTAGGGGACTGACATTTAAAAGTGTGTTTCGTTTAGTGCAGATCCAAATAAAAATCCAGTGACTTCATAAAGAGTTGCTGTGCCATGACAGAGGTATGCACTTTACTTTACTTTACTTTTCTACTTTAATATTTATTTTCATGGACATACAAACATCTGACACACCATGTGTTACTGTTGAATAACTTTGTTGAGTTAATGCCCTGACAAGCTTTAAATCAGTGTAATCATTTTTCCAGTTTAGATCAATTCGCATGTGAATCTCCAAACATGTGACAAGATGCTGATTTACAGCAAACAGAATCAAAACTGCTGTTTGACCGGATCAATACACTCCTTCATCAAACACACTCCAGCAGCACAGTATGGATTTATCTTATGAAAAGGATGCTCATTACCATCACTTCAATCTGGCCCCTGTTCCCAGATGTGAACACAATTAATCGATCCACGATGCGAGCGCTTCTACGTGATGTGATTTACACTGAAGTAAGAACATGCTGAGTGCTACAAGGGTCCTGCAGGAGATGAAGGGCAACAGAAGAGTTGTAGTGTTTAAACCGAAGTGATGCCGTCAGCTACTGAGGCATCAAATTACCTCTTTTAACCAATTAAGCGTCCCTGGTTTCTTGAGTTGGGTGTGTTTGTTTTTGTCTGCCTGTGCCTTTCCATGTTTTTCATCTCTTTCTCTGAAGTGCTGCAGATTCATTAAGGACAGGACACGACCAGTGGTGACAGTTTCTTTCAAGTCCCTTGTTCTATAAGCCTGCTGCGTCTCTCTCATCTTCTCCGCAGCTCTGTCTCCTTGTAGCGCCCATTAGTGTCAAGGTTCAGCGTCTGCACTGTCAACTCCCTGCGTTTGTGTGCCATCTTTTTCTCTCTCCACTCGCATCCCCCTTGACTTTTATTTTAATTCAATCTTTCAGCTTTAAATTGGCTCATGGGCCTGCTCCGTATTCTGTCGTCTTTTAAATGAAGGCCCTTCTGCCCTCCGCCGCCAGGTCACGGTTACTGTTCATGCGGACGCTGCATCTGCAAGGACGGCTGGTTCGGGAAGCTGTGCCAGTTCCCCAGGTCTTGTGATATGAATGACGCCCAGAGCAAGGAGCTGTGTGAGACGTCAGACGGAGTCATGTGCAGTGGAAAAGGTAAATAACATCTTTTTTATCATATATTTTTATTTTTCATAAAAGCCACTATGTGGGCGTCAAGATTGAAAATGCACTTACTCATATATTATATACACACAAACTGGATGCTTATAATTTTAAAGAATACAGTTTGAAAACATGCACAAACACAATAATATAATATTCTTCCTGTTTTATTAAGAAAAAGTGATAAAAGACATCCATCCAAATGTCCTATAGACAATATGTGACACTTCAAGATTGTCGCAGCGAAGAAACCTCTTTCAGCAAATCATTTCAAAGATCTCTTGAGAGCCGTCCACCCTGACGCACTCTCTCCAGAAATGTGTGAAAACAGTCATTAAACCACCCAAGTTATATTTTATGATTGTGATTAATTGCTCTCCTCAGATGTTAACTTCCCTTTTATGATTTTTATGTCCCGATCGGTGGCGTATCACAAGATGTCCTCTCTCTAGAAAGTCTCACAGGAGGAAAACATTGTCCCTTTCCAATTACAGCTGCAAGTTTAATTCAGCTCTTTCGCCATCTCAACAAATTCTGCATCACAGGTTTTGACTCACTTTCTTCCAAAATGTTTACTCACACATATACATTAGTTTCTACGTTATGTAGAACAACTCCCTAGATAGACATCAAGCACTACGTCCACACAATCTGGGAATCTCAGTTGTCTTTTCATTGATTTGATCATCAAGTTTGTCTCCTTATACTTTTCCAACAGGTCTCATTATCAGACTTTATATTTTAATTTTCTGATTCTAATTGATTTCCTTTCCTGGTGGCGCACATTTATAATGAAAGCTACATAACCATATCCATGGTTCATTTATTTCCAGGGACCTGAACTGAATTTACATCACCTGCTCTGACCATCAAATACAAAAGTGTTCAAAAAAGTAATTTAAGAAGTGAACTGAAACACCCGCCCTTTAATATCACTGTTAGAATGAAATAGATGGAATGTTCACACTAATCTCAAACCCACAAACCTACTTACAGATCAGCTCAATCAAAACCTGTGTATGCACAGTGAGATTAAACCTTATCTTAACTCTGACAGTCTCAGATGTACTCGTATACTTTCTACAATTTCCTACTGCGTTTGAGTTCACAGCACCGAGCAATTAAACTGATAAATTTTCCGCAGATAATCATGAAATTTCTGCTGTGAACCCATCTCTGTCATAACTTCATAACTTTTTCTGTTACGATTAAAATAACAAGCTGGATGAGACTGTTTAGATTCATTGATGTTGTCATCTTT